ACCCCCGCTACCCAGCCACAGAAACCCACTACCTTTGGGATACTTATGGGATCTTCTTACCTGGCTACTTTTTTCATGGTACTTGTAGGAATGGACTTCTTTCTGAGACCTCACTGTTTCCATTAAATTTAGTTTAAAGTGGCTCTTACTGATTATGAAAATAAAAAGGAGGAGCTGAATGACCTCACCACCTGAATGTGAATACAGGGGTACGTACATGTGCTGCTCACAAAAACCTTTTTTCCTTAGGAAACAGAGCAGGTAAATTTTTCCTGTGCTATTTCTGAAAAACTATGGGCAATTGTGGTTTGTATTTACCCAAAAAATAAATTACTTCAGTGAATATTGTTGGTGTTGCTTTACATTTCAGATTATGATTTGGCAACAGGGTGAGTGGTGTAAGGCATTCAGCAGTGGCAATGTCCTCTGTCCATTGGTGTCAACAGGCTGTGCATGTGTCAGAATTGGGGTCATTTGCATCTGATCCCTTCTGATACCTGACTGAAGACCAGAATTTCGTAATTCACTGTCAGAACATTTGTTTGAAGTCTTTTCTGGTTCACAGTGAAGCCTTGCTGCATGCATTTGACAGAACAGACTCCAAACAAAGAAAGGTTGACATAGTAAAAGGCAAATTTTCCAGTACACTTATCTTGAAGTAAAGCATCTAGTATGTTGATTTTACAGGAAGGGCTATAGAATATAACTAATAGGATTTGTAGGGGAGGCAACAAGCAGAAGCTGTTGCAATTTTTTATCTATGTAAGTGATAATGGTCAATTAGTGTTATTTGTGCTGTTCTTAAACTGGATTTTTGTAGAGTTTATTCTGAGTAAGGAAGAAAGAGACAAACTGAACAAAATTGTTATTGCATTCTAAATATCTGTTCAAATAAATTGTCACTTGTTTCAGTGACCAGCAAAGTTACTAAATTCAAGATGAAATTCACTAAATTCAGGACTTAAAATATGAAGAGAAGCATGCACACAGTGTACTTTCACACTTTGTTAATGGAATAACACAATACAGAAGACATTACTTACTTTAAAAGTATTTTGCTAGTCTTGCGTTTCTGTGGTTAGAATAACCACTGAGTTATTTCTCTGCATCCTGAATATCTGGACATTTCATCAGTGGCACTAGAGCACAGAAACGTTCCTATGTCTTTGCTGGAAGCAGTATTCAAGTTTTGCATAGCAAGCTAATGTTTGTTGGTTATGGAAATACTTAGATTAAGAAACTACTTAACTATCTACCTCTATCTTTAAAATGGCTTTTATAACACTACTATCTAATAGTAGCTTTGTAGTATGCAGGTTCCCAAGATGCTGTTTGAATGCCACCCGACAAAAACCAAAGTTTAATTATGTTTGAAGAATAGCTGTGTTTTGCTATGTGTAAGCTAGAGTGCGTGGAGACAAATGACATAATTTGGAAGAAGGTTTTTAGATCCTGTCAGATTTTTGGAGAAGCCTTTTTGGTTGGTTTCTAGCACAATACAATGTTCTGTTATGGAAAATCTAGATAGGACTGGCTTTTTCCTTGCAGTGGGGTTAGTATAAAGATCCTCACGTATATAACATGGTTCCAGAAGGGTATGGGAGTCTGGGTGAGGATCTGCCAGAACCGCATGAAGACCTAATTGAGAAAAGTACATCAGTAGCATTATTAGAAAGCTTTATATTCTGAATGGAACTGCAAAAAGGGATAGGAGATCTGCTATTCCTATTGTCTCTGCAAATGTCTTTTAATGGATTCCACCTTCCCTTTACATGTTTTGCTCCTCATCATATATAGATAGCTTTAGTTTGAAATGGAACTTTTGTTTCAGTCTAGTATCTGACATTACCCTACTGGTAAGAGGTTTTCAGCCTGTAAATGTTAAGTGTTTTCCTTTCAAATGTGGTTTAAAATTCTTGGAAGTGTGTTTCTGAAGTGTTTCCTTTAATAGCTTTGAGGAATCTGAGCTGATTAATTTTTTTGTGAGTTAACTCGTGGCCATCCTTTGTCTTTTTGTTTAGATTAGAGGACTTTTCATTTCCTCTTCGAGGAGGTAAATACAACACACTGCTTGTAGATGGAGAAATGAGAATGGTCTCAGCCACTATTGGAAATATAAAATTAGTTCTATATCTTTTTAGTACACTTGATGAGGTTTTAATTACTGATTTCTTTGAGATACTATAAGAGGGGAAGTAAATACCTGCTTTCTGAATCTTAGTTGGCCAATAACTTGAAGTAAAGAGACTTCACTCAGAGCTACCCAATAAAACACCTTGGTATATGTTTTCCCTCAAGCAGGTTTACTGCTGTGCCAGCAATATTGGCTAAAGGCCAGTTTAAATCACTTAAAATATGTGCCATTTCTTCCCTTTTTAAATGTGTAAATGTAAACACTTTCTAGCTATGATGGATGACTGTGGAATGGAAACTATTGAGAGAGTAGGGGAGCAGGGAGGAAAAGACACTGGGATAAAAAGGACTTGGTCAGTGTGTTTCACTTTCAAACCTGCTTTGCAGACCGCACTTAACTGGCAAGAGTGTGTGCAATGAATGAAGATGCTCAACTGCTTCAGCACTTAGAAAGGGAGAAATAAGAATGAATCTACTAAAATGCCACTGATCAAAGAGGAAAGTTGCATTGTAGTTTTGTTTATTTAACAAGAATACAGTAGGAAACTTTGCCAAAAGTTTAGCTCATTTTTTGTGGTATTGGGTAGAACATGTCACTGGTGCAGATTATGAATTCGATTTCACTGGTAACTTGGATTTAAAGTGTGCTCACCCACTTAGTTGTCTGCCTCTTTGTACTTATCATCTCCATTATCATGGGCTGTACAGTTGGATTCTTCCCTTCAAATTCATCTATTTACAGGGCAGACTGCCTCTCTAGACTCTTCTTTTAGTTCAAGGAGAGAAATAGCTTCTTCTAGAGGGTGAGCCATCTACAATGTACCTTGGACCTAAAGAGGCCAGATGAATTAGACTTCAGAAGTTCCTATTTCTCTCCACTGATTTAAAGATAATGTGGAAAAACAGTTCACATAAGGTTATTTGTGTTGTAGAAGTCTAATGTTAAGGAGTTCAGTCTGATCTTGACTGTATTATGTATAAAGTACTTTAGTAATAACAACATAATGATAATAATACATATAATGTATCAAGTATAAGCCTGGAAGCATACAATTTCTGTCAGAAAACTGTAATTGGGCATTATTGTGAAGGCACAGGCTGATATAAGAGGTAACCTTGACGCCTTGAGAAGACTCCATTGTCTATCATCTACATGGTTAGAAAAAGCATGCACACAAAAAGACACACATATATAAATATATATTACTTTTTACTTACTAAAACTGTAATTAAAAAAATTAAAGATACCACTGCCCAAATACGGCTTTTTCATTTGTTACTTACACTCTTTTTCATTATTTGTAAGAAATGGTGTACTGTTAACTGATTCAGAGAACAGGCATCAATTTGATAACAATACATTTTTGCTAATGTGTTAAGAGGGTGTCTGTTCAGGTGACACATTTTTGAAGCACTGGAGTACAAAAATATACATTTTAACCAGTTATTTAGATAAATGTGAATTCTGCTGGAAGAACTGTTGTTCAGAGAGGCTTTTCCATGTTACATAGTGGAACTGTGAGGCTGTGCACTGGCTGAAATTATACAGATATATCATACTTTGATGGGTATGCAGTTTTTCTTCTTTAAAAAGCTATTTTATTGAAGTTAAATTATTGTAGGGATATGAAAAGGTATAGTTTGCTCTGAATTTATCCTTAGAGGACCAGCAGATCATTACTTTTTCTCTGAAATTAGATAGAAGGATCCAGATGGCAGATTTCAAGCCCATCAGGTGTTTAAAATATGCCCCTCAGCTAAAAAGAAGTATTATAGTTAAATCTGTCATGGCCTTTTTATTGCTCTGTGGTACACTTGACAAGTGCAGCCGTGAAAGAGAGAAGCTACAAGTAGCCCAGTCAGCCTGAAGTGGAGTAGGTCAGTGGTTGGTTTCTTTAGCTGCCCCAGGGAGTTTAATGGACATAAGACCTGGTTTATGGAATCATTAAATCTATCATAGTATAAGCTCCCATGGAGGCAGTGAATTTATTTCCATAGTTTCTTCCAGATACTATGGTAGGCATTAGAAAAGTAATGTAAGTGAAACATGGAGGATTGGAAAAAGGAAACTTCCCTTTCCAAGCGAAATGAGAATTCCACATCCCTAAGGACTGACTCATCAGTAATAATAATAGCAATAATAAAATGCGTCTCGGTTGGTGCCTTGCACTGCATTTCTCAACTGTTTCTTACTCAGAACTGTCACATTAGGCTGAGTGCTGATAATTCGTATCCCAGAATCCTTTCATCTGAACAGAGCAACGTCCGCACTGTGTACGTTTGGCAAAGGAGAAGCACTGCTTTTCAAATCACTTTTTATGCTGCTAATTATGAAAAAAAGTAACCTGTTTGTGTTCATGTAGTAACTATAAGTACTTGCAGTCAAATTTACTTTCAGCACATGATTACTGACTGATTCAGGGAAAAGGATATGTCTAGTTTATTTATTTGCATGCATAAGCAGATGTTTATATAGACACTGATTTGGGAAGGCTGATGCAGTTTTGACTTCTTTGCTTCTTCTTGCTTCTTTCTTCAATTAAAAAAAACCCAAACCACTACCAGATAAGGCAAGTGCTCTCTTTTTTTCTGTATTCTATAAACTGTAGGGAAAGTCTGTTAGCAACAGACTCCTTTTGTAAGAGAATAGAACAAAACCTTTATCCAGAAGGTTGTATGATCGTAGTCCGGCATAATCTGTCTTTGATAGCTCTGTTGAATTGTAAGGGTCATTTTTGAGAGTAAATGTGCATGGCTGGAGTGAAATGAAGTGCCATTAGTGATACCCCTTTTATGAGAATGTTACTCTGCTAGAAGGTTATCCTGAGTTAGCTATGCTCATATTTGAACTCCTCTTGTGATTTCAGATTCCAGAGAGGTGACTATCACATTGATGTCTGCATCAATGACTACCTGGATGTGTTCTGCCCTCACTACGAAGACTCAGTGCCAGAAGATAAGACCGAACGCTACGTTCTGTACATGGTGAACTTTGATGGCTACAGCTCCTGTGATCACACTTCCAAGGGGTTCAAGAGGTGGGAATGTAATCGGCCACATTCCCCAAATGGACCATTGAAGTTCTCGGAAAAGTTCCAACTCTTCACGCCCTTCTCACTAGGATTTGAGTTCAGGCCAGGCCGGGAGTATTTCTACATCTGTGAGTATATAGAGATTTCGCATTGTTGCACAGCAGGTGTAAGAAACCCAGCTAATTTTTCACCTATGTGCTGTGAAAATACAGAGGGCCAAACAGTATAAAACACAGATGTCTTACAGTGAACGCAGGTTTAAGTATCCCCAGATACATTACCTAGGAATCTAACTAGTGAAAATGATATAAAATCAAAGCTTCTTTTCCCATATGGAATAGCATGTCAGCCTGTTTACTGAACCACAGCTGACATTTAAAGTAAAATGTACAGTTACTTTTATTTCAGCACTCTGAGGTGGAGGAGGATTGGGCAAGAAGGGTAGTATGGTAGCTGTTCCCAAATATGAGGAAAAATCATTAATCCTTTGCATATGAAATACCTGGATTTTCTTATTTGCGCAGATGAAATATTTTTGTCTCTAGTATTTATAACCCAAGAAAAGTGAGGTATGTGCAGCTTTTCAGTGGTGTTATGGTGCTTATGCCAGTAGTCCAGTGGTATTTAAAGTCGTAATTTCTTAGGCTAAGTAATCCTACTGTGTAGCTAAGTGTCTCCTTTTTTCTACCTTCCTTCCTCCCCCCATCTTTTTCATGGATGAGCTGTCAGTGTGGGCAATGGGAATGCTCTGGGAGCAGAAGGCAGGCAGGTGAGAAGGCCTGATCAGGGCTGCTCTGGGCACCCAGAGGATGTGCAGGAGATGGCATGTGGGTCTAAGGAAGTAAAAACACCAGGAGGTTAAAAACAGCTAAAGAGAACTGATTCTCTGACTCCACTTAGCACTTCATTTGTTTAATACTCTCAGAAACCATCTTATTACATCAGCTTGTTTTGTACCTGTATCTTTCACTGGAAACAAGTTTTGACTGCTCCAGCAGTACTTTTTTTTTTTTTTTTTTTTTGGTGTTAGACTACAAAGCTGAAAGCTTTAGACAAATGGGACTGTAGGTCCCATTAAATATTACTTTCATGTTGTAGCTGGCCTTTCTACTGTGAAACAGTCTTCCAGCTCATTTCACCATAGAAACTGAGTATGCATGATCCCTGTTTTTCAGCCTCATTTCTTCATCACTGAGATTTTTGTTTTCGCTTTCTTAATCTACTGGGAAATAACAGTCCTAGTGGATAGTTTTCCATTAATTTCGTTTTATTCCATCAAATAAAAATCTTCAGTGAGTGGTAGTTTGTCATCAGAAGAACTGTGCCTTGTTATTATGCTTCAGCACAATAATATAAAAAAATTCAAAAAGCAAACTGTAATTTTATTTTAAACTTTTTTTATTATTATTATTTTATATGGACATGCAAAATGATGTAAAAACATCAGAGTTTAAGTAGATAGTGGTCACAGTAAATAAATCTCCATTGTGTAGGCCCAGTCCTACTTGAGTCACTTCAACCAGAGTTCTCTGTCAATCAAAACTCTGATATGAGACTCCCTTGGAACAGTGGAGGTGGGGGGGGGGTTGGTGTACTTTTTGTTTTTGCTTTTTTTCAATTCACTTCCAGAGCTTTAGTAAAATAAACTGGAATAGTTAGGCTAAGGAATACAGTCTTTATCATCACAAGGTTGCAATAAAATGTAGCACAGAGTTAGCATTGGTAGGTGCAAGCCTAAAAAAAAAAAAAAAATTGGTCTTTTAAATTTTTTAAAAAGAAAAAAAGATAAATGTTTAATAAAGGTGAAACCAAACATGAAAGTGAAGGAAAAAATATGAGCAATCCCAGCTTGAGCTGTCTAGCTATTAATTTCATTTTTAGAACATACAAAATCCATTGAACTCTCAAGCAAGACATTATTGTTGAAATACATCCAGGTTGCTTATACCTGCTTTTTCTTATTTGTGGTTAAATTCAGTATGTCACTAAAAATCATATAACATTAATTTAAAAATCTATAACATTCGTTTAACTGAGTCATTTAACTGTCAAGGGCTCCCTTCAAAATAATTGTCCCAAAGTGCTTTAAAACTTGAAGAGCTTTATGATACTCAACTGCATGGAGATGGAATTCTTTTTTTTGATGAAAGGTAAAATAGCAAAAAATTAGCAAAGAGATGTAAAGTATTAGTTTAAAGTAACCTTCATGTTTTAGGGACAAAAAAAGCATTTTTCCTTCTTTTCTATAGGTTTTTTTTTTCCTTTATTCTTGGGTTTGATGAGAACACAACAAGGCTGATACTACGGCAGTTTCAGGGAAGCACGTTACGCTAAGTTAGCAATAATATGCAGACCTTCTCAGGGCACAGTTGTCCATCCTGGAATGGTTTTTTCTCATAGTTTGTAGAAGAAACAAACTGGTAAAATGTTGTTTCTTATGTTCTCATCACAGTTTTAAGCAGGCGCTAGTTCAGGCAATGGAGACTACTTTTGTTACCTTTCTTTATCTGCATGTTGAAAAATTTCTGCTTTACCATGAAAGGTTTCCTTTCCTTTTTGAAACCTTTGCCCTCTTTGCAGGAGAGATGGAAGGCTGACTATATAGGATCAGTCTGGCATGTTCTATTTAAGGATTACAAAATATGTTGTGTAACCTAGACCTCTGGAAAGACAGAAATAATAAGTGGCTGGTTAGCTTAATTACTCTCTGGTGCTTTGTCAAAATTCTTCACTGTTTAGCTTTTAAGGATGTGGCTTGCCTCTCTTGCTTTCATTACTTTCAGAAAAAGCAATAATTTGTGAACAATCACTGTCTGTTTGTGTGAACAGTTCATTTGGAAAATGTCAGTTTTCCTTGTTATGCCATTGCCTTCATATATAGTTCAGATGAACTTGGATCTCCCTTCTTGGCATGTTTGTTCTAGGAAAATGCAAGAAATCTTACGTATCTTTTTTTATCAAATTTATCAAATTTACATTGAAGAAGTCAATTAAACATTACTGTCATGCAATCACAAAGTACTGATTAAGTTTACTTTTGAAAGAAGAAAAGCTTATTAAATATTTACAGAGAAATTAACTTTTATTTACTTAGGGTGTGCACAGTGGGGGTGGGCTGGGGAAAGTAAATAATGTATCATGACCTGAAGTCTTAATTTTTACTTAGTTCTTAGCAGGTGCTCACCACAGGTTAGTGTATGCTAGCATGAAAACAAACAAAATAGTATTACTACTGAAAGAGAAGCAAATTGAATATAGAGAAAGCAGAAACTAAACAGTGTCATGACAGTGATTTTAATGTCCTTTTGAATGGAACATAAGTTTCAGTATTCAGGTTAATGTGAGGTATGTGCACAGTGAGTTAAACACAAAAGCAAGGAAGGGAAGAAAGTCCTAAAATGTATAATGTTACTTAATTATATGTTTCAAAATGAGTGTATAATTTCCATTATTTCAACTTAATTATGGGTAATTTATTCTTATTAATGTGCTAGGTATTGAAAAAAACAGCAGTGACAGCTTGGCAAATACACATCAGGGCTATTGAAATAAAAAAAAGAAAGATGTGGCTAGAAGCAGACTGCGACAGAGTACTGCAGAATCCTGACCTTAGTTTCCAAACCAAGCTCCTGAGTTGATTTAAGCTAGAGCACATTGCTCTTTTCTTGAAAACAACACATCATTGTTGTACTGTCAAAAGTTGTAGCAGTACTAAACTGTAGCATATGTTTTCCTCTGAACCATCAGTCCAGGTATTTCATTCAAGAACTTGGTATTTTACAGGATTTATCCTTAAGAAATCTGTGGTATTTTTATCATCTTATCCTCCAAAATTTTATATATATTGTTTATATAGTCATTTGATCATTGTGAATATTTTCATTTATATATACTTATATCCTTCTCCTAGAAAGACAGGTAGGTTTGCTCTTCTTTACAGTTGTCTTGTTGCTCTTCTGTTCTCCATTAGATCCTAAAGATTTTTGCTAGCAGTTAGCAAGCTTTACATGTAATGTATCTAAACAGAACTTGTGGGCTTTTCTCCCTTTCTCCTTGAGAAAAGAGCTCCTTTCACCTTTTAAATATACTATTGTTTTACCTGTGGTTTATTTGTATAACCTCTTTTTGTTACAGTTTCTTTCTAGTTTTATCTTCTGCATGTGTCTTTCTGATTTTATTTCAAAATGCTTGTGCCGTTGCTTTGTGTCACCTGTAATGATGTGTCATTACCATTGTGTCTTTGTTGTCACCATTTATTTTCATGAAGCTTCTGATTGTCAGTTCAGAAGGCTTTTGGGAAATTATATTGCATGTGTACACATCAGGATAATGTGATTTTATGATTTGAATTTAATTATGGTTATAAATAATATTTTTTAAGTTGTTCTTATATTTACAATTAAATTAAGAAGCAGTTTGTAAAGTTGTACTTTCAGTTGTACATGTACCTCTTAATAACATCCAACCATCCTGTACTCCTTTTCCGCATAGACTCCATTCCCAAGCAACCTGCAATGTTACCTGTTCCCTTGATTTTTAAGTGTTTGTCCCTCATCATTCTTGTTTCTCTGCACTAATTGCTTATTTTCCTGAAATTTCTGATTCTCAGGGCTTTTATTCAACTGACATTCCACTCTGACAGTCTTAGCTGCTGCTTCTGTAGGAAAGATTTGCTTTCTTTCTAATAATAAATTGTCTCTCTTCTGTTTGCTCATTCCCTCTTTGTGTCTGAAAGTTGTCCTCACCATATCTTGCTGTTATTTTCCTCTAACAGCTGCCAGGTAGTTGGACCATCCCTCTGCAACCATCTGCACACCTCTGGAGGGTTCTTTCATTCTAAAGATCTTAAGGAAAAAAAAAGTAATAGAAAAAAGTATTTTAATACTCCACCTCTTCTGCCTATTAAGTAGGTATTTAGCATATTGTATTAAGAAGGTCTCTAGCTAAAGTTTGTTGAGGGAATAGGTGTCCCTGATGACAGCAAAGCTGAACTTGCTCCCTTTTCCCCTTCTACCATGTTCTGTGTGTGTTTAAAAGTTGAGTGCTTTTTCATGCTCTTGTTTTTCTTTAGTCTCTGCTACAATCCTCGGTCCCTTCTCTGTGCTGTGCAATTCTGTGTTTAGTGATC